ATAGATAGATAGATAGATAGATAGATAGATAGATAGATAGATAGATAGATAGATAGATAGATACTTTATTTATCCCGAGGGAAATTCAAGTATCCAGTAGCATACAAATACAAAACATACATTAAACTAAAATTAAAATTAAAGAATAGAATAAAAAATAAAGCAAAAGATCAAATATAAAATATTATATATATATATAATATATAAAATTAACAGTAGCTACAGTAAACAGTGCAAATGGAAGTAAATTTATTAATCAAAATCAGAATCAGAATTTTGTTTATTGCCAAGTAGGTTTTTACACCTACGAGGAATGTAACCTGGTGCAGTTGTTGCATAAACTATACAAATACAAAACATACAAATATACAATTATTCAAACCACACAAAAAAACACACAGAAAAATAAAGTACCAACATCACTACTTCACTAATACTATTAAATAACTGTGTTAATCCTCCATCTTTAAGGTTTATAAGGCTACAGGTGTACATTTCATGTTATTTAAGCCTGTAATTTATGTAACTACTGTTCAATCCCACAAACTATCACACACTTTAAACTAGTACACGAATTTCACATAAACGAGTCTTATTTTGAAGGGTACAGCCGGAAGCGTTGGCGCCATATCGTCGCTAACTTGAATAGCTTCCAAAGCACACACTGTGCTACACTCCAGCGGTGGTCTGCCCTCTTCAGCTGCTGCTGCAGGGGACCGTGTCGCGTTATTTCCCTTCTACCTGTCGTTTGTCAGCACCTGGTTGCCTTTGGACAAGGACGGTAAGAAAGTGGACCCTCGCCGGGCTCAGTTTAAGTTCAAATTAAGTTTTGCGTCTCCGAAATAGCGCCCAAAAAACGTGTGGCGTTAAGCTAGCTATAGCTTGCATGTGTGCTGCAGCGGCTCGTTTTACACACAAAAAAACCCAACAAAAATAGACTTTTTTTCAGCTTTGTGGCAGACATTTATGTAGTTTAATAATATGTATGGTAGATATTATCAGCGAGCTGTATGTGTGCGTTATTAACGGAGTGTGAGCATCACGTTAAAACGTTATATTGTAGTCTTTTTGGAGCCGTGCTGTCATTTAGGACAATAGGTTTTATTTAATTACTACACTCGTTATAGTAATTTAATTTTTATTTTTTTGTTCTCGGATTGGGAGCGCTTTTAAATCCGCGAGAGTTTTTACTTTGACAGTTTTAAGCCGGAAGTTTTTGCTCCTTAATTTGGCGAACTTGACATTAATGTGACTTCTTTTGGACCGCATGGTGTCACCTCGTCTCCTGGGGATTGAACAGGCTCATAACTCGGATTTAACATGTGCATTGAACACTGAGTTTTGGAAACAGTGTTTTAAAGTCTCCATGAAACATTTAGTTCAGTAAAGACTCACATTGAAGGAGCTTTCACGCCCCTTTGTCCACCACGTGTGTTAAGTTATATAAGTTGAATAGTGTCCTGATGGAGGTACAAAACGTACGTCCACGGGAATAAGTTTGGCGTATCTCCTTTGCTGTTATCCATGCAGTCCCAGATACAACATCTCATTACATACTACTGATCAGTTCTAGCTCTCTTTGTCAACCATTTTCCAGGTGTGTAAAGTGGACATGTCCACCTGTCACAATAGGTTTAGGACACTGACACTGAGGGGGACAGCTGTTTTACAGTTTCACAACCCTTTTGTCTGATGGGGATTCCCTCCTGCTGCAATCACGACTGTCGAATTGAATCGTACGTTCACTTCCCTCCTTTTGAACATTGTCCTCTCCTTCAGGTGAGACGTCCCGCTTCGACTGTAAGAACTTATGTGCCTGAGAGTCTGACACACGTCTGTTCAATGGCTGCCTCAGGCTCCACCCCCTCTGCCTCCATCGCCGCCGCCGCCGCCGCCACTGTGCCTGAGGATTTCCATTATGAAACCAAGTACATTGTGCTCAACTACCTGGGACTGCTGCCTGTCGGTAGACCACGGGCCGTGACCACAGCTCAAGGTGAGAAGACAGACTTTCTGAATGTAGTCCGTCGTGGAGGGCGACCGCCGCCAAGGACACGCTGATTTAGTGCTTCCCATAGTGTGTGACACATACCGTATCCCAGGGCAACCCCTCACACTTGTGCATTCACACGGCACACAAATAGAGTTGTGTGCACGTGAACACATGGCGGTGAAGTATTTGGCGTGTGTAGGCAGGTTGCCACCTGTTCACCAGCTCAGTTTGGCATTGAGGCGGGTGTGTGCATCGAAACCTGATAGTTACCAAGTGGCCTGTAAACAAATGTAAACAACTGCATGCCGTTTGAGGCTCCCTATGAGCTCAGTGTGGTGTCCAAAAGTCGCTGAAGTCCAGTCTGCCTTTACAGACGCATGAAGCAGTCCTGTGTTTCTGTTTTATTCGTCTGGCGTACAAAAAACACACAGTGGAGTGTTTTTTAAAAGCAGGGGTTGACCCATAGTTGTTAGTAATTCTGAATCTGTGTATGTTATGTGTTTCACTAAATCCCACACTAGCCACCAACATGTCACAGCTCTCACTGTGTGCAGTGAAGTCACAGGCACAGTGTGTTTAGTGGTGAAGTGACTCTTCATTGATGAGAAGCAGGAAGGTAAGACAGTTTTGCAGGAGGACCATTTAAATGTGTAAACAGTCTGTAAATGTGTACATGGATCTTTAATGTGTAGGTAAATCTGTATGAGTACCATAGATAATAATGGCTTTTGCTCTACGAGCTGCTTACATGTGACCCTTGCAACACTGCTGCTGCGGCAGAGATCTGCTGACCTTGCAGGGCGGCAGGACTCGTCACGAAATCCCAAGATCACGCAAGAGTCTCGTTCTGTTCTAACAAACCATCCACGCCCACTCCTGTATGACAACAGCCTCAGTGGCCTATTGGAGAATTGGTGATGTGGGGCACTGAGTTTGAGCAGTCTGGGCTGTCATAAAACATGATTCAGTTTCACCAAAATCAGTGAATAAAGTTATTTTGTGTGTGTACAGTGATCAGTGAGGCCCACTCCAGCAGCAGCTATTGTTTTTATAACCTAATTCTTGTCCCATTTGTGGTCTGATAGCCAGTGAATTCATCAAATTCACTTTCTGATATCACTTTCTCATCATTTTCCTGGCTTCTTCTAATGTAGGATGGAAGGAATGATAGACCAGGAGTGTCCAACCTTTTTCCTCCAAAAGCAAACACCTATTCTATTTTATTGTATTGTATTGTTAGGATGCAAAACCAGGATCCCAAGTTCCCTACATTTGATGACCGCCTGCACAAAGCGTCACTTTGACACTTTTCCAGCTCTTGGAGCAAAATAGTAAAATTTTTGAGACTGACTTTAAGGGGGAGACTTTACTGATTACTGATATTGTGGCCAATACAGTTTGTATCTGTGTGGATTGTGCACCAATTTAGCACTGATGTGACTATGCAAAGGTACTCAGAAGGTTGCTTTCTTAAACAGATAACTTTATTAAAGATTAAAAGTTAAATTAAACATATACATTGTCAAACACTTCTGGGTGACATTGCTGGGAGCTGCTTCTTCTCTCTTACTCTGTGCTGCTTGCCACAGTATTGTAAGGGGCAGCAATCTGCTGGATGAACTTTGCAGTGACACCAATTATTACCACAAGCCTTTTCTCCTGCATTATATATCGATACGTCCGCAAGAGACCAATATCAGTCGACCAGTATCGGTCGGGCTGTACTTTTATGTCTGTGTATGCAAATTTACAAACACTTAATACAGATCTGAGTATTTCTTTTTACACATTTACAAATCCGATTACACACACAGGTTGAGATACTCTGCGCTCACATTTGTAAATAGTTTCTCAAATAACGACCCCATCCAGTTTGAGCAAGAAAAGCAGAAGGAGAGACGGTACAGAAGAGAGAGGGGAAGTTCTCTGCATTTCCTGTCTATTTTTATTGTTGTGTGCATGCTTGGAATGGGCGGAGAAAGGCAGAGGAGTGGCTGATCCCTGCTTTCCGCTTGACCCGGTCCAATTTCTGACAGCCTGTCATGTGTAATCACCGTAGGATCACTCACACGCCAGCGCACCAAAGCAGAATAGTTGGCCGGCTAGCTGTCTGGCTCAGTGCTGAAACAGCACGAGCCCAGGAAAAAACCAACACACACATAATAGAGCAGGGGTTTACTGAGTGTCCTCTTCCTTCCTGCTCAAACAGTCAGTCATGAAAACATTTATTGGAAAAAATCAATAAAGAATCATACTTAAAGCAATGGAGTGGTACTCATCAGTGACTGCTGGATCTTTAGAAGCGGAGTGGCTACATTCAGAATTAGTTTATTAGGATCCCCATTAGCTACAGCATCTTTACATTGTGTTAATGCACCATAATCATTATCATTATAACACATAACATTACAAAATCAACACAGTAATACAGCCTTTGTGTCCGTTTTGCCCCTTGCCAGGTTCATTATGCTCTCAGCAGTGTAGACTGAGTCTTGTAAATAATTTACTCTGCCTTTCCCTTTGGGGGTCCAGCAACTTCCAGCTGAGGAGAAGTAAATGAATGGCTTAGAAGTAAATGGTAGTACATAGTACTGTAGGTGCGCCTCAGCATGCAAACATTTCAACCCCCTCCAGGAGAGTTACTGTTGATACATGCACAAACTGGTTTGTTTGGCAAACTGTGTGCGTTTAGTGTCGTGCTATGTGCAGGCATCAGCGGACTCATTATTCTTATTCAGGACTAAACCAAAATATAGTCCCATGTTTTATAGTATTTTGTTATTTTATCCCACATACTACAGCTGCACAGTTCACACTTATCCTAAAGTCTCTTTTTCTTCCTTTTATCAGATTAAAGAGATAAAAATCTTAAAAAAAGAGAACTTTCAGACAGCTGTCACACACTACAAATATGCAGTTGATATGCATTAACAGAAATGACATCATAAATTGCTTTTCTTGAGTGGTCTTGTGTAATATGGTGCTGTATAGTCTTTGTGAAGTGTGTGTGTGTGTGTGTGTCTGTGTTGTGAGAGACAGAGACAGTCCGTTGGTTCATACGTCACGTGTTTGTCTCTATTAGGAGATGCCCAGAATGAGAGAGAGAGGACCACAGTGATTAAAGAGCAGATAGAGGAAGAGCTGAGACAACTGGAAGATGAAATCGCTGCCTGTAAGTGGACACACACACACACACACTTTTATTTCTCTCTTGTATCTCCGGCTTCTTCTGTGTGTCACGCAGACAGTTGCTCTGCCTGTGCAAGAGTCCAGAAGAGATTATTTGTCAGAGTAAAACATGAAATGAAATGTATACTTTGAAAGAGGACTTTGGTTGCGTTACACAACCACAGTTCTCTGAGTAGCATGTGTCGCTCCAGACCTCCGCCCTTGCTCCTGTGTGACTTTAGTATGTGAGCTTCTTTGACCTGAAATATTAGGGTAAAAGAACCTTAGTATCATTGGTAACACCTGTGATTACCCTACTATTTCATGTCAAATGGCTGCTCTGAAAAAGGTCCATTAATAAGATTTTATTGATTCTGCTTAATGACACAATTCTTTATTCATTTCCTTATTATCAATTTTCTGTTTTATTGTGCTCGAGTCAGAACACGGTGTAGGATTAGAGTAGAAGAAATGCTCAGGTGTGCCAGAGCGCCACTGTTTAACACTGTTTAATTTGGAACCAGTTCTCAATTCTGATCCCTAGCATTCGTTTTTATTTAGGTTTTCTTACTCAAAGAAAAAAAGTCTGTTATATATTACAACAGGATATTTCCCCCCCTGTAAAGCACACGCTGCTCAGTTGAGAAGCAGCCGCACTCATACATAGAGTCAAATATGTGTAATTCCTAGGCATACGACTCTGATGGATTGGACAATTTGGAACTGGTTCTCTATTCCCACTCCTATTTTTGAATGATGGTTTGGTGTGAGTCCAGTTCATAAGGAGAGGATCCATCCTTTCCTCGACAACGTTCTTTCACAGGAGGTGTGTGGGACGGTCATTCGTGCTTCTTGGAGAGCTAATAAATAACCCAAACTTTTGTAACAGCCTCACAGAGTCTTTCAAAATGTGCGTTCTGGATTTTATAAATTATTATCAGCGTTTCATTTTAAAATCAACTGTTACTACCTTAACTTTTTCTTTTCTGGCAATAATAATAAATAATAACTGCACTGCCTGCCTGAGATATCATTCTGCCCTGTGCTCTGTGTGTTTGCAGCCTTTTCCACTACAGGCTTTGACCGACACACATCGCTGGTGTTTAATCCAGCCAACCCAGAGAGTTCTATTGAAGACTGCCTTGCCGCAGTGGGAGACCGGGTGGCCGGAGAGCTTGACACACACCTGGCAGCAGCCGTACACACACTCCTCGCAGGGTCAGTTTGCTGCTCTCTGACTTCCATAATATCTGGTAGTTCACTGACGTAGATGAACATGTTTATGTGAGATCTCCTTGACAAAAGCGACGCTTAATCAGCTTAATCAGCATCACTGCTTTGAGATGATCGCTGCATACAAATAGTTAATCCAAAACTTTCACATGAAAACAGAACTATGGGGGTGTGTTCAGCAACCACACTATTCAGCACTGATGGCTATTTTTACACTGTATGCATACAGTATGTGGAAAATGTGTGTGTCCACAGGGTGAGTCTCAGTGGAATGACAAAGTCAATGTTGATATGCTGGTTCTTAGTTCATTTTCTCCTCAGTGAACTCTTGAACTTTGCCACTTACTTTACCTTTTGATTTTGTAGTCAAATGAAGAGAGACTGATGTATGAATAGACTGAAAGGTTTGCATTTAAAGGTACAGCGTGTAACATTCAGGAGGCTCTTCCCGTCCTGTAAATATGTATTCGCAACAGTGAGGTTCACATGAGCAAAATCCACAGCTGTACACAGTACAAAAGACGATTCATGCTCAGGGAACTCCCCCTTGCTTACACAGTCATATACAAAAAAGGAAGAAAACCAAGGCACACATATTTGTGACTACAGTAGAAGCCTTTATTTGAAGCATGGCTGCCATCCACATGTAACATTTAACTTTAGGTGTGTGTCAATGTGACCCAGGAGGAAGGTGTGGCTTCAAAGGTCATCACTGGTACACAAGGGGTGAGTTAGAAAACTTAGATCTGACTGCATGAAGGCAGGTAACGGAAAAACCTTCATATACAAGAGAAAGTGGGACACGTTGAAGAGAAGCAATAAGCTTTTTAGCAGCTCTTGGCGGGTGGACAAAAATGTGGGATGCTGGTTATTGTGTGTCTTTTCACAATCATTCTTGGACTCTAGGCACATTTTAATATTTCCTAAACCGCTTGTGTGTAACAGCAGGGATGATGTCTGTGTGTGTTTCAGGCCTCTGGACTACCAGAGATTCAGAGAAACAGCACTGGATCTCTCAACACACACACAGGGAGGCTGGAGCAAGGTGAGCTTAATTTGTCTTCTATATGCAAAGCCCAGATTTAAAGAAATGATGGATTGCTCAGGACATGCAAAATGTGCAACTTTTGTGTCCCCACTGCTTTTCTTACTCCCCCTCTCCTCTCTCTCAGGTGATAGTGCCTTTGGTGCTGCTTCAGGCTTTACAAAGCGAGGGCCAGTCACTGACAACGCTGTTGAATCTGGGGGTGCGCTTCCTAGAGGAGGATGAAGCTGGCAACATCATGCAGCAAGGGGGATGGGTGAGTCCTTAAACCCTGTGATGGACGAACAACCATTATGCTTTTACTTAAGTCACCCGGAATTTAAAATTGCTGCTACCACTGCTCTGTGCCTTGTTATTTCTTAACAGTTACCAAACCAGTAATAAGCATATTTATATATATATAGAATAATGAATCGCAGCAACTACTTGGTGCTTCTTAGTTGCTAAATATTCTTCAAGGTTGTGCAGAGGTGGCATGGATAGGACAGGAAGTTGGAATGTAGTGCACAGTGAACAGAAAAAATGCTGTCCTCAAAATAGATGCACAGAACTCAAAATAGCCAGATGAGGGCGTCGGTGAGCTTCCTGTACAGATGTTTTATACCCCAGTCCACGGTCCTGTTCCTTTTGTGATCTACAACCACCACATTAACATACACCAGATTAAAACCCATCTTACTGTAAAAGTTATGACATAAATGCTCAACAGATGAGCTACATAAATAAACAGACTGTATTTAACTGTAATCACTGCAATACATTGTTTTTAGTAGTATAATAACTACATTTAAAAGCCAGAAGTCGAATGCACCACATAACCTACTTTGTGGTCGTTTAAAACAGCCATCTGTTCACAACATTCAATCATAGTGTAGACCAAGAAGTAGTTCTCTTACGTGAGATGTGGCTTTTTAATTAAAAGTAATCCTGGCAGTTAATTGTGCAAATTGTGACTAATACATCCTCAGGTGAAAACTGGTTTTGATTGATTGATTGTGTGTTGATGGAGATGTGTGCAATATAAACACAATCAGTCCTCAGCTTGTCTGGGCTTCTGTTTTAAATGGTTTGTCTGAACATGTTAGAATATAAATACATGCCAAGAATGTACAGTGAGATTGATTGACAGTATTCTTCTATAACAAGGTTTGATTGATTGTGTGTTGATGGAGATGTGTACAGTAGATATTGTAGTTAAGTATGTAAAACATGAAGAGAAGTGTCCTTTTACATGTATCTCAATGTGACAGAGCACTAGCCACATCCTGTTTAGCCCTTCTGGGTGACAATAAGTTGGTTTAACTGAAATTTGAATCTAATTTTGTTTTAAATTAAAGGTACAATTNNCCTCTCAGTCCGGGGTTTCACTTAACTTGGTCAGCTGCTGTGTGACCTCCTCCATTAGGAACAGTGATGATATAATCCTCATGAATGTCAAGCATCACATTGATCAAAATGCCACCGGGTTGCAGCATTATTCAGAAATTATATTTCCTGTTTTGGATTCTTGTGGGTTTGACATTTTGTTGATGTGGAAAGTGTGCCTTTTCTAACATCTCAGATCTGATGTTTGGATTTGCAAGTGCTGACAATATGTGGCAGTCATGTGCAAATGTAACAAGTACGTGTTACTGTCCCAAAAATGCAGCAGCTGTTTTCTTCTCCCACAACCTCATTATGTTCAGAGATCTTTTTAAGGGTCTTTCAGGCAGTGGTCATGTTACTCGTCCCACCGATGTCAGGGATACCCGTCAGATTCAGTCTTTAATATCAGTGTGTGAGAGGGAAAAGGCTGTACACATTTAGCTTGACAGCAGGAATGTGTCTTTGTTGTATGTAGTTTGTGTTTCTCCCCGGGCGAGGGTGGAGAACTGTAGAACACACCTGACAACACTTACAAGGTTAGTGTGTTTCCCAGCTTCAGCAGTTATGGAGGACAACAACACGGAGCATTAAAGAAAGACAAATATGGAGCAAATTCAAAGTGGATTTCCTCCTCAGGTGTGTTTTCATTGTTTATTCTCTGTTAAATCATTGATGCAGGTAAAAGTAATTTCAAGTTATTTTTGTATTGATCTTTTTTGTTTGTTTATAGTTCGTGCAGAGAAGTTTTACTATTACTCATTATGCCTCCTTCTTGACGTGAACCTGCATGAGAAGTTATGTAAGAAATGGTTTATCAGTGCAGTTAAGGTTGGGACACCCTCTTCTGTACATAATTATCACTCAGTGTCACTTCTTTTTAAGGACACATGTAATTTTAGATATAAGATCAGTGAGGATGTTGTAGCAGTAGAAACTTCCAACTGCAAATACAGGAGAAGGATTGATGGTCATTGCTCCTGAGTGCCATCAGCAACCTTTTGCTGTGGATTTTATCCCACATGGCACCTCTGTCCTGCTCTGTCCAGCTGACGGGTAGCCTGTACAGAGGGCATCGGTTTGGTGGAACACTCTTGCTCTCCCACATGCAAATCAGCTTATGGAGGAAGCAAATGTTGGATAACGATGGAACACTGCTAGATTTAATCTCTTCCCTGCCTCCCAGGATGCAGCTGCCATGTGAGTGTCCTTGTAAGGAAAATAACCTTCACAGCTTGACCATCTCATTTAAAAATCACATTTACATAGGTCAATAATGGTTTACATGCTGTATGCTTGCTCAGTTGTGTGGATCAGATGCAGATTGGTGGTCAGAACACCAGAATTATGTATGGTCATGACCTCTAATAAGACGGTGTTCCCGTGGGAGTTAGTCTCTGCTGTCAGAACCTGTCTGTTCGTTGCACACACACACACACACACACACACACACACAGAGACAAACACATCTGCACACCCTCCCATTGTCTGTTTGAATCTCATTCGTTCACGTCACACCTCTGTGACATGCATGGAAACACATGACAGATCACATTTAACTTTGACCCATCAAGCTTGGTTCCTTATCTGTAAACCCAGCTCAGTTGTTAATCATACACACATCCTACTGTGTCATCTGCGAGATGCTCAGACAGTTGTGACTGTTTTGGCTGCGCTGTGGTAACGATATGGCTCTGTGGATAGCGTGTTGGTCTGTCGATCGGTCCAACACTTCGGTCCAGACTCAAATATCTTTGCTAGTGTCGGAGCGGTTGTACAGACATTCATTGTCCCCAGAGAAGGAAGGTTACACACTTTTATGTTCCCTTATTTTTTCTCCAGTTCCGCCATGAGGTCCACATTTGTAGTTTTGAGTAAAATATCTTAGACAACATTGGACATTGCTGTGAAATCAGGTTGCACATTTATGACCGCCTCTGTACCGAACACCTGCTTATGACTCATGACATTCCCATCAGCCTTACCTGTACATTCTGTGTTGTATAGCATTAAGGAGGACAGCAACTACTGGAGAGAAAGGCTTTGATCATCATTTAATTTATAAGCCTGTTTAAACTTGGACTCATGGGGCTTTTATGGGGGCGGTGTTAGGATTTTGCTGTTGGAGAGGTTGAGAGGATACAGCAACCTGCCACCCAGTACAACGTCTTAACACTGAGCTTTTTGGTATGTCTAGCTTGTTTGCGCTCATTGTGAACACTAGCAGTAGATTGTGCTGCACGTCACTGCACCCTCAGCAAATTGATGGTCACTCTCTCATGCTACACTTTTATTTTTGTCCCTTGCAGATGGCATGAAAAAGTAATACTTTGAGGTCAAATGTGTATTTAGTTCAGGACACTACAGTTTGATTTATCTCAACATATTTTGCTTCAGCAAGCTGACCTCTGTGTCAGTTACTCATACCCACATGATCAAACGATATGCCTGTTGCATAACAGGAAAGCTTTGCAGATGGTTCCTGAGCTCTTGTTGGTTAGTGGCTGCATACCACTAGGTGGCATATGAGGCTAAGTTGAGATGTAAAACAGTGCAGTGTGTACTGTAGACTGCTGCACGTTGGAAGCTTAAGTGTCAGTTTAAAAGCTATTTTAAAGTATATTCGGTATTTTGCAGCATTATCCTAAAGAGCAACAAATTTAGATTTAAACTGTAAAAAAAATAGACTGCTTCAATTTTTTGACTTCATAAAATGTCTCTGTTGTGTGAATAATCCTCCATTATGTTGCTATTACTCAGACCACCTCAGCTTTCTCAGTGCACAGAATGTCAACATCCCTGTCTCTTTCTACCGCAGGGTGAAATATTCAGCCTTGAGTCAGAGGAGGAGCGAGGTGTGGCCATCGCTGAAGACAGCAACGACATTTACATCCTCTCAGGGGAGCAGCATCCAGACCAGCTGAGCCCCCCCTCCTCGCTGCTCTGCACTGGAGACAACAGCAGTGAGCAGAGCTCCTGGCAGACGGAAAGCTTACCTGTGTCTCTGGCCGGCCACGAGTCTTGGGCACAGGTTGGTGTGATGGACCCCGAAGACGTCAAGAGCCTGGACAGCAATGAGGGCGTGGCTCTGGCCGAGGAGCGCAGCGAGAACAACTCCTCGAACTCCGACATCGTCCACGTTGAGCGCGAGGAGGCCGAGCTGCTCGAGGAAGGCGGCGAAGGCGGAGCGATAGAAGAAAGCATGATGAGTGTTTTAGGCACAGAGAGCGAGCTGGCTGAGCTCAGGGAAGAATTTAGGGACCAGACTCCACCTGTTCCAGTGTCAGCCGAGGGAGACTCCACAGCCCCGGCCTCCCTGCTTTCATTAGAGGAGCCAGTTGTAATAGAGACGCCAGCAGTCTTGTCGGCAGAGCCCTCCCTCGTCTCCTCAGAACCAATGCTGGTCCTGGAAGCTGCTCTGCCCCCTCCCTCTGAGCCACAAATCTTTGCCTGTCCAATTCCTGTGTTTGTTCCTGCAGTAGAACCAGAGCCTGAGCCACAAATCTTTGCCTGTCCCGTGATTTTATCTGTTCCCGCAGTAGAACCAGAACCTGAGCCAGAACCAGCTGCCGCCCCCGCCCCAGTGCCTGCCGTGGTGGAACCCCCATCTCTACCCAAGGAAAACCCCGCAGCACCAGCAGAGCTCGAAGCCACCTCAGAACCAGCTCCTGAACCAGAACAGGAGCCGGAGCCCGACGCAGTGCCTCCCCAGCCAGAACCAGAGACTGTGGCAGAGCCGGAGGCTGCACCCCCTGTCCTTGAGGCCCCCGTAGAGCCCCCTGCTGAGGAGCCCCCAGTGCAGCCGGAGCCAGCATCAGAGCTCCCAGCGCTGCTTTACGGAGGTGCTGCACTGGTGGTCCTCGCTGCTGTAATGGCGTACGGTGTCATCAGCTTCAGGAGGAAGTAGAAGAGTGTCTTTGTCAGGGAAGGAGAATGGAAATTACAAGATGTTAAGGTAGAAATAAATGTGTTAGTACACATGGTGGGACTCTCCTTACGAAGGAGGCTGCGTTTAAAAAAAAAAAAAACAAAAAGAA